TGCTGAAACTTCCTGCGGAAAATACCACGATAGCTGCTAAAAGGAAAAAAGATACAGACAGACACAAAATCAAGCAGCCTGAGCAGCTGAAGTCTGACTAGAAAGAACTGAAAATTTTGATAGTAGGAATATTTTTAGAAGGGCCAGTTTTACTCTGAGGATCTGAGCCTTGCATTGTTGATTTGTCGTTCTTCTTGTTTGTCTCTAAATTAAGTTCTTTCCATGCACAGGAATTTGTTGGTACAAATCCCTGGATGGAAAACTTCTCTAGTCAGAAACTAATTGTAGTAAGTACATTACTACGTTGATGGATTAATCCTCTTCTCCAAAATCATAAGTAACTAATACATTCCCTTCATGGACCTCATCATCACAGAGAAATTTAACATTGACTTATGGACTATCAATTATGCACAGAAAACAAGAGAAGGATGAAAAAAATCTAAAACTAGAACACTTTCAACTAAAAAAAAGTTTTAAAAGACAATTAACAGTCAAACTTATTAATGGAAAACATGATGCAGCATGAAATACCTGCTTCATGTTCCTGCACCAAGAAGTATAAAAGAAATTATGAGAGTAAGTGACCCACAGGATCTCTAGACTTGTGGATCATGTTTAAAAACAAACAAACAAAAAAGGCAGTCCTTTGGAGAATAGCATATAAAGAGCTGTAAACAGAGGTTGATTGTCCAAGCTTTCTTAATTGAAGTGTTGATTTTTTTCTTGATGTAAAAAAAAGTTCCATTGTTAAACAGTTTTTGGCGAAACATGCAAAACTGTCATCCAAATGCATAATTCCATTTTTGATGTAGAACCTGATAGACTGTAGAGGAGGTTAAGGTTTCTTTGTACTTTTTAAGGTTAGTATGACATCATAATCCAGTAGAAGTCCCTTAATTTTTTCATGGAATTTCTCTCTGTACTGGTTGAAGTGCATAATGCTTTCTGGTTCTTCTTCAAACCAGAACTTGTCAAACTCATAAACCAGGTAACCTGTAAAGAAAACAATACACAAATCTGAACAAGTGAGTCCCACAATGTTCTACTTTGAGCCAGTTACACCTCAAATGATCCTTCAGACTCCATTCGATCCCTTAGGATAGGCAGTGTCTCATCCTAGTCAACAGCAACCTTTTGGATACTGTTATAATGAATAAGAAAAATGTGCAAACACTGAATTTTCTGATTAAAGCTTGTAAAATATAGAAAGCCACCCAAATGTATCCCATAAAGAAGGCATCACGTTCAGGTGGTTGATTTGGGAGAAAAAAAAAAAAAAAAGAATGAAGTATGCTCAAAAATAAATTTCTAAAGCATGTTAGATGCAGTGTAATACTTTAATGTACAATTCGGTAACGTAACTGGTTAAATACCAGAAGATAATAGTTTGCTGTGGCTAATGAGAAAAAGAGTGGAAGTGCATTCTAAAAAATAAAACTCTACATTGTAGGCCTACCCCCAGTAACCGGTGCTAAAGAAGCTACAGTTACTTACAGTAGAATTGATGGAAGTGTTCCATTTGTGGCAATCCAGAGATCGTGTTGTACAGATGAGACTTTAGAGCACCATTCTTAAGTAAGCTGTATGCCATTTCTGTCAGATTGATTCCCACTATTGCATAAGAATATCTGCAACAGCAATCATATTTCATGTTTTATCTTTTACCTTAGGGACTGAAGGTCTTAAACTTTCCAGACATGGTCTGCGTTAGGGTAACTGTTAAGAGTCCATTTTTCCTATGCTGCAACCCTAGCCTACAGACCACTTCTTCAGTTCCCCAGTACATCTCAAACTATGTGAAAGTTATTTTAAAAGCTCTAGTTTCTTGTACAATGGAGGCAGATGCCTCCTTTAGGCAATACCGAAATGGGAAGGCTAATCGACTTTGACTTGAACTTGCTCATTTGAAATGATTAAATCTGCTGTAATATTAAAAATCAGTTACCAAGGAGTTATTACAGTACCAACAGACTAGTCATCTCAAACTTATGTTCCTCAAACTGAAAAAATCTGTTTTTTATCTGTTACATAGTATAGAAAATCCCACGACACGAATGTGTAAAAGACTGTTAAAACAAGCATTCTTTTAAAAAAGATGAATTTATAATGTCAATTACATGTGTATTTAATTGATGATGTAAATGTCTCAGATTTCCTATCCATCACCTAATTGCATGAGATAATATTCTTTATAATTCAAGTCATAAAAGGTTCCCATTCTTGGTAAGTGACAGAATTAACTGGACACTGGATGGATCAGAGGAAATATATATAGGTTTACCAGCTCTCTTCAGTATCTGACTTGTTTTAAAACATATTTTCCTATACAGTGAGCAGAAATGTTTAAATACACAGACAGTTTCAGAGATTAAGTAAAGCTCTAAAACAACAACAAAACAACTACTTATATATACCTATTATGGAATAGAAGCCTAGCAAAAAAAAAGGGGCCTTCAGAGATCACGTGCACCACTCCAACATGGGATCAGTAGGTAGGTAACAAGTAAGTACTCTCTTCTAAATCTAATCTAAACTTTTTAAAAATAAAGCTAACTGAGGTTAAAGGTGTCCGTCGTGTTAACCAAAGCCAAAGGTTTGCAATATTTTTGTTTCAGCAAGTCTATTCAGAAAAAGCGTTGCATGTACTTTCAAACCTGAAGCCGATCTGTATTCAGTTTTTCAAGCCTTTCCCCTTTGACCCTTTTTTCAGCTTTAAATGTAGAACACCACAAACATTCTCCTCTTAAATTTCAGCACGCGTCCTTGATAGTCTTCATATGAGCTCCTACACAGAACAAGCCAAAAAAAGTGGCATAATGACTGACTTACCCCAGTTTTGGGTGATTTGAACGAGAAAGGATCTGACGAGCTTCATTGGTGTAATGTTTACTAAAATACCTGTCAATGCAAATCAAGACCTTTCATTAATTCTTTTAGTCCATATACAAAATATTAATGTGTTCAACATCAAAATATGTAGCTTTAGCCTAGAACTGAATACTACTCTGTACTGAAAAATGGCACAAAATGAAAAAATAAGAGAAATGCAGCAAATTAAGTGATATTTAGCACGAACTAGTGTACAGTAAAAAGAATCACTGCGATCAGAATGGCAAATATGAAGTTCACCTAAGATCACAAATTAACTTAGCTTAGTGAAGTTATGCAAACACATTTACTTTTCATAACAGTAATTTAGAAATTGTAAAAGCTTTTAATATGTTAAGTCAGATTCTAGGAAGTCTATCATGTGACAGTAAAAAAAATAAGGTGGAAAAAAGGTGTCTTGAACAAGACTGTGTTCCTTCCCTCACCTGTTGGCCTTCACCCAACTACAAATTTACAGAAGAGCAGCTGTTGGAAATTGACTTATTTAGAATACACTGGTTTTCACTGTAGTACAGAAGCCACCACTTCTATTTCCTTCTATTCAGTCCTTAATTAGAAATAGCATTAACTAGTAAGAATTCATAGATATTGAAAATGAGTTATAGCAGAAGTGTAATACTTATTTTCACTTACACCAAATTCACTAATCCCAGCATGCCCATTCCTCTGAAGTCTGTTTTAGGATCATCCCCTTGGAAGCCAATGTCACACCACTGCTTGGTGATTCTGGCCTTCAGATTCTCATGAGGCATCAGCAAATTCCAAAGCTGTACAAATATGCTTCCATGTTACATACAGGTGATAAAGTTTTTCAAGTCACACAATTCGGAACACACATTGCTGCACATTACAAACCATTCACCATGGACTGGGACACAAACTGCATGCTGTCCTTTCCTGTTAGGAACAATCTAGAGTCATACTGTAACAGCTTATTCAAACAACTATGACAATTATTAACATTAAATGTGATAATTTCCCTTCACAGGCAAAACCAATATATGGACAGTAAAGTAGCAAAAACTTGTTTCACTTCAGAAGTTAATTTACGTGTCATGCTCTCATAGGCCAGCTGTAAACAGAAATACAAATTCACAGTGAATGTTTACTTAACACATCACAACACTGGGACTCGTATAGCAAGTGAGATAATTATGAAACGTTAAGATGACATGCTAATATATTTGCACAGTATCAGCTATTTTTGAAAACCTTAAGCAGTACTATGCTACTTGTTTGCTGTTATTTACCATTACTTAAAAAATGTTACTGATAATTTTTTATCTTCTGGTATTAAGTTATGCTCTTTGACGTTGGCTGGGATGCAGCAACAAGATTGGTGTCTTTTTTTAGTAATTACTGTTTCACAAAGTTAGACATGTGCATAAGGTTAAATATCTTCATCGTTATAATCTTTCAGTCACCCATTACACAAACAATTCTACTACTTACACGTTATGCTTGACTTCACATGAAATAACCTCAGTGTGAGTATCTCTAGTTTACTAACTTGTTTTGATCGGTTAACGAGTCACTTCTATAATGGCTTAGCAGTTCACAGCAGAAAAGTGCTTCAAAAATAGGCCAGTCTTCTGTTAAAGATACTAGCAATAAATAGATAAATTAAGTTCGTTCTAGCTGCTGGACGTTGCGGGGGTGGGAAAACCCAGCTGTACACCACCAAATCTATACTTACAAATTTAAATGAAGGTATTCGGTCATATCTTTTGAATTTAAAAGATAGCAAGTTATTTTCACCTCAATTAACTGTTCCTCATGTTCTTTGTTATCCGAATCATAAGGGACCTTCCTCAGACTTTCCACGTTCAAATAAAGTTTCTTATATCCTGATATCTGCAGCAAGCATACATGCAGATTTGTCTTAAACCTGAAATAATAACAAAACACCATACAAGTAATAAATTAGCCACAAATTCTTGCCTAAACTGCACATATAGGACCTCTCTTATGTTAATGCAGTTTAAGCACCAGAATTAGGAAGTGAAGTTAAACTGACCAGCCCGCTTTATCTTTCAAACTACAGCTTACTGGTTAAGTATACTGCTGTATGGTCCTATTTCTGCTTAAAACACCTCTAGCAGATTTCAGTGCTGGTCAATCAGGCACTGTTCACTTAAATATATGGCAGAAAAAAACCCTTAGTTAAAAATCTATGACAACACACTAGGACTCCCTTTAACATGCTGACCGCTTTACCTTCATCTGCTCCCAAGTATTCATGATGTTTGTGCTCCCACAAGCTCAGTCCACATAAATCTGAAAACCTCTCCATGCAAACAGTTTTCTCAAAAAGCTATCCCAGTTTATACGGATGAAATATATAAGTATCCCATCCGGTTCCAGTCACAAATTCTAGAGCAAAATTTCAATCTTGTACATGAAGACATGGGAATCTGACACAACTGGAAGAGGGAGAATTCCAGCTTTACTACCATAACCCCAAACTTCTTTTAAGTCTCAAAATCAAACTTGAGGTCAGAAATACTTATAGCTTCAACCATACCCTGTATTCTTCTGTTCAATTTTCTTTTCTTTCATTACATCTCTAACGCACTTCTCCACTTCAGCTTCGTCAACATGTACGGCATTTCTTAAAACCTAAGAAGTTAACATAGTCAAAGACTTCATGAGAGTGCAGAAATCTATTATCTTATTCTTGGTATTTCTCATTCTCTCTATCCTTGCCACATATGCGTTCTTTAAAAAGCTATAAAACACGAATTGGCAGTCGAAGCTATTTAAAAAAAATGTTTATGCTAAATGTGTTTGAACAGCACGTGAAAAGACTTGCCATAGTTAGACAAATGCACAACTTGTAGTCTTGTCAGACTGCAAACTACATTTTTTAAAAAAGGAGCCCCTTAAAGAATAAATAAAACGCTAGTTAAGTCACTCAGTTTAGGTTTTCACTTGCTTTCATGTGCTGAATATAAACTTGTTCTTCTTAATCTAATTGAAACAAATGCAGCTATCAAGGAGCAAAAGTGGTATACCTTCAATTCAGTAAGTAAATGATGCTTCAGAATTAGGAGACAGTAAAGTAATGAAGTTGAGGTTTCAATGTTATGGTGAAACAAAAGAACTTAATACAAGATGCTACTATGCTACTGTCTTCTAGAATAAAGGACAAATGCTAATAAAGGTATTTATACACTGCCCATCTAAAATCACTTGGCAATTATTTCACTTCCTCTTCTGAACTTTTTAAGGTCACAACATGTTCTTAATCTAATTCACGCTAACTCCAAAGCAGCTCCGTTTCAGTAAGGCAAGAAGTGTTTTTTTTTTTTTAAAAAAGAACATTAATATGCTCAATATATTAATAATTTCAGAGATGTTAAAAGATGCACTCATACTGTGCTCTACTATTACAAAGATGCTTGTGGCAGTCTCTGTCAACATCATGTTACAGTAATTAGCTAGGAAAGGCAGCATGTTCACTCATCTCATCATCTCAAAAGGAAAAGCTTTGTCCAAGGTGTACAAATTCTAGGGTTTAAGATGCTAACTACCACATTTAACTGATGCAGAACAATCAGAACGAGCTTGTCGGTTAAGTAGATGGCTACCTGAAAACTTGCATGGCATTTCTTTCAGTGATACAAGACACTACTCTATGTTGTATTTAATTGCTTTATCCATATCATTTCTCTAAATCACACTTCTGTTTTCTAAAAAAAAGTAAGAGATTTTGTGAGTAAGAGAAGAGACTGTCTCCAGCTACAGAAACTCAGCACAATGACTTGTCTGACATGGCTGCTAACAAGCAAGTAAGAAAGAAGGTTTTACTACAGAATGATCTCTAATATCTCTTACCTTATTCTTTGATGAGTCTAGCGAGTGTTCTGCAGGACAAAAAAGTAAATGTCAGAGATCAGAATAAAATCAAATTGAATTTTTTAAATATTTGAGAAGAAGTGTTTTTATGATGTACGAGTATTATAAAATTTAATGTTTGTTTTATATGTGCAATTAATAAAAGATTACTCGATTTTAAAATCAACAGGTATCAGGCAATTGAAAGCCTTTTAGATTACGGAGATTTTCCGATAATCATTGAAAGCAATACTTAAAATAGATTCATACTTTTAAAAACACTCATTAGTTATGCATACAAAAAAATCCGGTACAACTCTGAAAAGGTGTCATGAATAAAAATGTCTCTAGGTACTTTTCCATTCTTAGAAGCGTTTTCATGTTTATCGCTAACATGCTTAAATGATTAGAGAATACGGAGTCACTTTTGTCAAGCTGTTATTACAACAGCAACAAGTATAAGTAGTACATTAAATGACTATTTTAGATCAAAATTCTGCATCGGTGGCCTTGGGCATTTAATCACTTCTTCCTCCCCGCAAAACCATGTTCACGTGTGACTTTTTTAAAAGCAGAAAGGTTTTTAAAAAAAGTGGCAGGGGGGCTCCAGGGAAAACTGAGAAATTTCTGATTCACTCGTTAAAGCCAATCGGAGTTCTCTTGGCAAGTAATCTCCTGACCAAGTAAAAGCATTTCTGATTTTAACTCCTCGTAAAATAGCAAGGAAGAAGGGAAAAGAGGAAACGCTATCCACAGAACGTATACAGCACACAGGGCAGGTACCGCTTTCCTCCTACTGCTTTCCAGGATGTTTCAAAGATCTACACTAGTCAGCTCTAAAAAACGTCAGTAAGCATACACGCTTATTTAACCATTTAAACCTTGCCACTGTCTTTTCACTTATCTTGTAAACAGGTGTTTTACTTCAGGAGCGATAAAAGAACAGTTAGAAGCAAGACGGTGTTTCGCCATGCGCCCTCCGGCTGCTGTCCTGCAGGCAGACATCCAGGTAATCAAGATGCACCCGCAGACGGACCGCAACCCCCAATTTCCCCGATCCCTCATTACCTATGTTTAGCGTCCTCTGCGCGCCTTCCTTTGACCCATCAAAGATACGCTGCAATTCACACTTCCTAGTGAGCAGCCTCAAGATCCATTTCAGCCAAAACCGAAAATAGTTGCTGTACAGGAATCCCCATAAGTACCCAAACATCTTCTGCGTGGAGAAGGTCACCAGTTACCCCGGGCTTTTCTTTACCGGGGGTGGCCTCAGCCACCCGCAT